TTTTTTTTCTTTTCTTTTTTTTTTTTTTTATGCTGCCTAGTCCTCTTCGTAATAAAAATAAGCATTCTTCACATTTTTAATTTCACTTTACATTTTCAGAGCCCTTTCATACCTCTCTGTGTCCCCGCTCTCATCTGATCCTCCCAACAGGGTCAGGTTTAACCTGTTGTTTTTCCATGTTACAGATGGGGAGAGGAGGGCTTGGGCCAGCTGCCCGGCTCAGATAAGATTTGGAAACATGCCAAGATCATGGATTCATTTTTTTTTCCATCTTTATATATATATATTTTCAACGTTTTTTTTACCATTAAAAGATGTATTGCTAATTTTTCCTTATGTTGAACATCACACACACACCAAGCACTGTTTTAAGAACTTTATATGGCTGGGCGTGGTGGCGCATGCCTGTAATCCTAGCCCTCTGGGAGGCCGAGGCGGGTGGATTGCTCGAGGTCAGGAGTTCGAAACCAGCCTGAGCGAGACCCCATCTCTACTAAAAATAGAAAGAAATTGACTAACTAAAAAAATATATATATATACAAAAAATTAGCCGAGCATGGTGGTGCATGTCTGTAGTCCCAGCTACTCGGGAGGCTGAGGCAGGAGGATCGCTTGAGCCCAGGAGTTTGAGGTTGCTGTGAGCTAGGCTGACGTCATAGCACTCACTCTAGCCTGGGCAACAAAGTGAGACTCTGTCTCAAAAAAAAAAAAAAACAAAAACGAACTTTATATGTATTAAGTCATTTACTTCTCACAACAACCCAGCTACATAGCTGCTACTATTACTTTTCTCTTTTTACAGACGACTTCACTGAGGCACAGTGGCCTGCCACTCTCAGGTTTAAACTCAGGTAGTTTGGTTCTAGAACTGATACTCTTAACTATTACTCTAGTTTATGTGTTCTTGGTAGAATTTTAATAACATTAGAAAAGCATTTTAAAAAAAGAAAAATTTAAAAATAATTATAACCCCAGTACTCAGATGTAACTACTGTTAACATTTGGTGTATAGGAATGATTATAATTCACACATGGAATGTGGAAGAAAGGAGCATGTATCTGAATTACTTGAGGATCTTTAAAAATATGCACCTGTTTGAGGCACTGTACCCAAGAAGGAAGAATGGGAATGAGGATTTGGGGGGAAAAATGTAGGTGATACTAATAAATAGCCTCTGATTTTCCCTTCCAGTCCCTAATTGCCCCACTGCCACCCCAGTTGAATGCCACTAGTGTATCTCTCCAGTCTTCCTTCTCTCCATAGTCACATCTGCATACACAAATCACACTGTAAATGACAAATCAAAAACAATAAATGATAATAAAAAAAGGACCAAGGCAACCAGGAGATGCTAACACTTATCATGATAAAATTCTTTTTTATTTTTACAATTTTTTTGTAGAGAGAGGGTCTCACTATTTTGCCCAGGCTGGTCTCGAACACCTGAGCTCAAAGGATCTTCCCACCTTGGTCTCCCAAAGTGCTGGGATTACAGGTGTGAGCCACTGTGCCCAGAACTCATGATAAAATTCTTAATCGGTTTGTGTTTTTGCTGTGCCTCAAGGGCACATTCGTAACACAAATACAAGTCTCCAGGTTGGAACCTGATGGGCATTTTTCAGCATTGATATCCCTGGCTGTGAATTTGTTATTTTGCCATTTGCCAAGTGGAAGTGGCCGAGCTATTCCCCTGCCCTAGTTCTCGCAGGGGGCTTGTACCCCGGGCTGATTTGTACCGTATAGTCTTCCAGACCCAGCCGCACGCCCGGCACTACGAAACTGCCTGTGCCCACGTTATTCCCCACTCAGGCCAGCGCCAGGGCTGGGGCGAGCCCAACACGATGCCTCGTGTGTTCTGGAAGGAGCAAGAAGGGAGAACCAGAACGAGGTGCTTCCTTTCTCGCTCCCTGTCATGGCCCATCGTAGCACTTGTCACACTACTCCCCGGGGACTGATGGATTCTTCTGTCCCCCTTGGTGGACTGAGCACTCCTCAGGGGCAGCCACAGGTCTGGTTCGTTTGTCTTTCTTCCTCTTTGTGTCCTGACTGCCTGGAATAGCACCTGGAACAGAGAGGGCTCAGCACATTCCTGTTGGGATGAACAACGAGGACAACCATTGCTGACACTTACTGAGGGCCCCTCTGTGCCTCAAAGGCACATTAATAAGACAAACATTTCTGTCCCAATCTTTGTAACAGCCCTGTAAGGCAGAGTCTAGTCAGGTGTCCTCAAACTACGGCCCATGGGCCACATGCGGGTATTTTTTTACTTCAAAATAAGACATGCAGTGTGCATAGGAATTTGTTCATAGTTTTTTTTAAAACTATAGTCTGGCCCTCCAACGGTCTGAGGGACAGTGAACTGGCCCCCTGTTTAAAAAGTTTGAGGACCCCTGGATTCTATTAGCAGCCTCTTTGTAGAGCTGAGATTAAGTCTTTTGCCCAAGGTCACACAGATAAGAGGCTGGCAGGAATCAAAACCAGGAAGCTCAGTCCCCAAATTCAAATTCTTAGTCCCTCCCTCCTCTGTGCTACCTCTCTCCCACGCCCTCTCTCCTTCAAGCCGGTGACCATAGTGGTCACCTTAGGACTTTGCTTTATTATGGCACTCTCCTAATCAAGCACCTTCAAGGCCAGACTCTCCAGCACGGCATACGGGGGTGTCTACATGTGGCCCCAGCCCCCTGTCTGGTCTCCTCCCGCTTCAGAGGCAGTAAAGGCTTGGTCCCAACTCTACTGCCTACCAGCGGCGTGGCCTTGGCTATGGCACTTAACTTCTTTCCACCTTGGGCTCCTCGACCGTAGGATGAGAGTAGTAGTGGCGCTGACTGCACAGGGCACTTATGAGCACGGGGTAGTCACCGGCTGTGGACGCTGCTTAGAACAGGTGTCAGCAACTTCTTCTATGAAGAGCCAGGTGGTAAATATCTTATACCCAATTCTGCTCCTGTAGCTCAGAAGTAGTGCTATGGTCTGAATGTTTATATCCCTCCAAAATTCTCATGTCGAAATCAGAACCCCGAAGGTGATAGTATTGGGAGATGGGGCTTTGTGGAGGTGACGAGGTTATGAGGGTGGAGTACTCATGACTGAGATTAGGGCCATTATAAAAGGGGCCCCCCAAAGCTAGCGAGCCTCTCCCACTATGTAAGAACACAGGAAGGTGCCGTCTACGAACCAGGAAAGCCTTCACCAGGCGCTGAATCTGCTGGTGGCTAGATCCTGGACTTCTCAGCTTCCAGAACTGTGAGACGTTAATTTCTGTTGTTCGTGAGGTACCCAGTCTGTTATAGCAGCCCCAAGGCAGGAAGACTAGCAGCCATAGACAATGGGGAAAAGCACGAGTGTGGCTGTACACCACCAAAATTTTATTTATGGGTGCTGAAATTTGAATTTCAAATATTTTATATGTGTCACGAAATATTCTTTTTATTTTTTTCCCCAACCATTTAAAAATGTAAAAACCTTTCTTAGCTCATGGACGACACTTAGACAAACAGGTGCTGGGCTAGATTTGGTTCACAGGCTGTGGTCTGCTGACTCCTACTTGAGGACAGTACCTAAAGGAAGAGCTTAATAAATCTGAAATGGTGTGAAGTAAGGAGACGGGTAGGGGCTGTCTCCTCACTTCCAGGTGAAGGGCCCAAAAGGATGGATGGATGGATGGATGGATGGATGGATGGATGGATGGAAAGAACGTGAGCAGGTTGAATTAAGGGTCAGGTGAAAACACCTGCCCGAAGCTGCTTGTTTGCTGTGTGCAAAGATAGCTGAAAACAGCTGACCTGTATGGAAGTTGTAAAAAAATTAACAGATGGCCCTGCCCCTTTGGAAATTTATTTCCTTGGAAATAAATACAGGGAGGAACTTAGCTGAGGAGGCCATTTTCTCCTTTAGGTTTTGGTCTCTCTTCTTTCAGAACACTGCTTTTCAAGTAATCATTCTATTCCTTCACTACTGAGCCCAGGAGCAAAAAAGTAGCTGCAACAGCCAGGCACCACCTTCTTCTATCTTGCACCTTACACCTATTTTCAGAGATGACAAGTGAGGCTCAGAGAGGTTAAATAACATGCCCAGAGTTGCACAGCTTTTAAGTGGCAGAGTCAGGAGCTGAACCCAGGTTTTATAGAACACCAAAGACTATCTTTTTCTACTATGCCATCATTCACTGAACATGGATTTTGTTAAAAACTCATCATGTGCAAGGAGCTATGCCAGGTTTAGGAACACAGTGGTGTAAAAGGTTTAGCTTTGGCCCCCACGGAGGGTAGAGTCTAGTAGGAGACCAGACACCCAAATAAGCAATTATAACTCAGGGTGATGACTCTTACAACGAGAACACATCGGTGGGGGACCTCAGAGTTCATGGGCCTAACCCATGTTGGGAAAATCGGAGCAGCTTCCTGAAGAAAGCAATGCTTGAACTGAGACTGAAGGTCGGGCGGGAGAGACCCAGGAAAGCATGAGATGGGACGATACTAAGCTACAGTGTCTGGCCAGCTTACCCAGGTTGCCAGCAGGTGCCCCCTGCCTTTCAGATCTTTGCCTCTGATGGCCCAACACCCTTCTCAGGAGGGTCCCTGTGCCTGTCCTTTGCCTCCAGCCTCTCTCATCCTGAAATGCTGTCACAGTTTTGCACCCCCGGGGTCCCTGGACACAGAACTCAGCCCCTGTCTGCTTTCCTCATTACCTACTTCAAGTGTTCCATGAATTCGGTAAACCTGACTCAAGATTTTTGGTGGAGGGAGGGGGTTGTCGCCGGCAGGGGTCACTTCTGGAGCGCTGGGTTTCCGCCCTCAGCTGGCCCCCACTTCCTCCCTGGAGTCGCAAACAAAATCCTCCCTTTGTCTTGCTGGGAGCGTCCCGCCCACCTCCGGCCATAGGATCTCAGCTTCTACTCTCACACAACAAAGTATTTTCTCCACAAAGACAGCTCTACCTTCCGAAGAGGAATTCTGACAAATACAAAGTTCTCTTTACACATCCACAGTTCCATGCAGTCCTCCGAGCAAACCTCCGGGACCATGGGGAAACCGAGTAACTAACCCTAGTGACGATGTCAGGAGTTAAAGGACTGTCTAAATCCAAAGCTTCCCTTCTCAGCCGCTCGTGATTCTGCCAACCACCCTGGTGGGGTCTGGGGAAGGCCAGGGAGGGGACAGGCAGAGACGGTGAGCAGGGAAGACGAGTATAGTGAGAAACTGGTTCACCAGAGAATAGTCATTTCACCAGAGACACTAGTTTCCAATTACTTAAACCTCCACAATCTTAAACTTTTCTTACTCTTGTTCTTCCAGAGTAAGAGAACTGGACAAGACTGGCTTAAGTAGACACCCCAATAAACAAGGCTCCTTCCTGAGGGGAACACAACTGCCCTAATGGGTCAGGGTTATGGCGCTCAGTTTGGGAAGAGCTTGGGACCCGGCCGGGGTCACCCAGAGCACCCAGGGGTGGGGCACATCCCGCTGCAGGACCTGAGAACATTCCTGAAGGCAGCACTGCAGTTCTTTGATAACTGAGCAGACTCTAAGGAGACAGGGAGAAGAGGAAACAGGTAATGAGGAGAGAGGAGAGGAGGTTACAGAGAGACAGTTCCGTATTCAAAACAGTAATTTTAGATTCAAAGTGAATTCTGCTATTGACACCAGTAACTAGAGAAGTTCACACGGGCGAGGTCTTGGCCTAGCTCTTCGGAGAGTTTGATTCCAAGTTGGGGAAATGAAGTTGCTGTGAAGTCAAAGGCTCAGCATATGAATCAAGGTCTCATTTTCAGAGTCCAGAATCTGGGGACCGAGTCACTAGCAGAGTCTCAGGTGCTGCATGCTGTCAGCCTCCTCCATGTGTGGGTGCGTGAGTGCCTTGGCTAAGCATGTGCCCAGAGGAAGGCCAAAGAACAGCAGAGAACAGGGGCCCTGCCTTCAGGAAGACTGGAGCGGGAGCTGCAAAAATCTCCTTCCTCTCCAACCCTGAAGGTCACAGTAGGATGACAAACCCTGCCCCGGGCCCTGCCACTTGAGCAGCTCGGCTCCCCACCCCCCACCCCTGTCCTCACTTCCCATCCCCAGCTGAATCACAGACACCCCTTTCCACCCACCTCTCTCCGGGCCAGGGCTCTCTAGTCTTTGCAAATTGTGCTATAAAATCTCAGGGAACTGAAGGCCAATGTCACGGATGCTGGCTGGCCCCAGGAGGTCCTCTTCTGTGGGGGTTGCAGGGGTAGAACAGTGTGCAGCCCTGGAACTAGGAGATCCTCTTTAGTATGTGGGCAAAGCCTGCCTAGAACAGTGCCTGGTGCATAGTAAGTGCTGCCGGGCTGTGAGCCGTTGGCCTCCGCTGTAGCCCCAGCTCCCAGGTGTGCTAGAGTGACTGAGCACATGAATGAGGGGGCCTTGATGAGGGCCTTGATGGTTATGTATCTGAGAGGCTGGATAAGCGAGTGCAGGTATAAGGTTCTAGGAGTAGTGAGGAGCGAGGTGTGTTTGTGCAGACGTAAGTGGACAGATGGAATGCTCCTACTACTGCATCCAGGTCAGTAGTAGGAGCGGGTCTGTAGGGGCCGGATTGTTTAGGGCCTGGGTTGCCAGGCTGAGGTGTTTCTTTTTATCCTGTAGGCAATGGAGAGTTGGGTGACTCGCAGTTGAATGCAGATGTTACTTTGCTATCATAGGTTAAGACTTGGCATAGTTGAATTCTAACTTTGTGTTTGTGTCTTAGGTCTTTTCTTTCCCTCCTCCCCTCCCTCCTCCCTCCATTCTCCCTCTCCCTCCCTCCTCCCTCCTTTCTTCTTCCTCTCCTTCTTCTCCTTCCTTCCTTCCTTCCTTCCTTCTCTCTTACTTTCCCCTGCATTTTCCCAATGCTAAAATTCTGTGCATTGTGTCTTTCATGTAGTTGAAACTAATTACCATCTCCTGGGAATCTTCACACCAATTGGTGAGAAGGTTGGAAATGTGACAAGTTATTTTTTTTTAAGTGGGATTAGCCAGCTAATTGCACATTCTGTGCAGAAGGCAAAGTGTCTAATTTCTCACCTCTGAGGCTGTCAGATACTGCCCTGCTCCACCAGAGACTTAATTTATTTATACCTCCAGGGTTACCATGGGAGAGTCCATAGGAAGCTCTAACTTGGATCCCTGTGGGTCCCTGTGTTTTCAGTCCTAATAGAACAATGGTTCTCCATCAGGGTTCTGTCCCTCAGGGGACATTGGCAATGTCAGGAGACATTTTTGATTGTCAAACCTGGGTAGGAGAAGGTGCTACTGGCATCTAGTGGGTAGAGGCCAGAGATGCTGCTTAACATCCTACAATGCTCAGGACAGCCCCCCACAGCGAGGAATTGTCCAGCCCAAATGCCAGTAGTGCTGAGATTCAGAAGCCCTGGACTGGCCGGGTACGGTTGCTCACACCTGTAAATCCTTGCACTCTGGGTGGCCAAGGTGGGAGGATTGCTTGAATTCAGGAGTTCAAGACCAGCCTGAGCAAGAGTGAGACCCCCGTCTCTACTAAAGAATAGAAAAATTGGGGAGAGGGCAATATATGTAACCTTAACATTTGTACCCCCATAATATGCCAGAAAAAAAAAAAAGAATAGGAAATTAACTGGCTGTGGTGGCGTGTGTACCTGTAGTCCCAGCTACTTGGGAGGCTGAGGCAGGAGGATCCCTTGAGCACAGGAATTTGAGGCTACTGTGAGCTATGATGATGCCACTGCACTCTAGCCCGGGTAATAGAGTGAGACAATCTAAAAAAAAATTACTTGATGAATAAGTAAAAATTATTAATGTACAATATTTAAAGAGAAGCCATGGACTATGGCTTCTGACCTCTGACCAAGAAAAGAAGGGGAACTGAGTCAATGTCTACATGGATAGGAGAAGAATGGGGCAGGATGATAGTCCGAAGGGGAGATCTATATTGGAAGCAACTGCTCTGAGGAGCATTTGGTATTGGAAAGAAAAACCACAATTTTTATGAGCAAACAGTGCCTATTTTTAATTAGCTCCCTTGTGGAGATGTTAACATTTCAGTATAACGTCCCAGTGATGCTTAGTCAACCAAAAAATCACCACCCAAAGCCACAGCTTATCCAGTTTCTAGTGAAACCTGGTGCAGTCACTGGTTCTGACAGTCTGCTGGCAGGAGTGACGTCCGCCATGTTTTGGCTTTACAGCCCTAACTGACAGTAGCGATTGAAGCCCCCTGTGGCGTTGATTTTCAGGAAAGCAGGTAATACTCTTGGAGGGGAGCAGGTACCAGACATCCATTTGGCTGGGGGAAAATGTATCACTGAATCATTTTTGTGGTCCAAAAGGTAAAACATTGAACTTGATGCTCCTGGTAAGAATTTGGTTAATTATTAACTCACTTTGGAGAAGTGGGGCTTCTCTCTGATCTCTGTGGTTTGCTGGGTTAGATAATGTCTCACACAGATCTCATAGTCTTGGCTGCCAGGCAGATACTCAACCCAGTCCTACCTCTGTCTACACTCACCCCCTAGTGTTCTCACCCAGCCTGGCTTGGAACACTCTCCATAGGCTGATGGCCCTTCAGGCTAATGGGTAATCCTATGATGTTTTCCTGGTCCTACTGCCCTCCCACTTTCTTGGAAGACCACCTCACGTCTTCCCTCTCCTCAGACCTCCAATGCCTCCTCCTTCCCCAAGACTCTGCACCAATAACTTCACCTCCTATTTCCTTGAGAAACCAGAAGCAATCAGAAGAAGGTTCCACCACATCTACCAGCCAGTGTCCTTCTGCTTTGCTTTCCCTGCAGTCACCATGGTCCCACCGTTGCTGTGCTCGTCCAAGTCCAAGTCTTCCCCTTGCCCTTGCTCATCCAAGTCCAAGTCCATCCCATCTGCCTGCTCAGGGACAGCACTTGCCTTCTCTCTCTCCCCTGAATTCATCCTCTCCCACCTTCTCAACTGGATCATGTCCATCAACTTGCTTATAACATATTCCAATAAAAAGTCTTCCTGATCCCACATTTCCCTGCAACTGTTGCCCCATTTCCCAGCTCCTGTTAACATCCCAAGAGTTGCCTCCTCATCCTCTCCTGAATCTCTTTTATTTACACCTTCACTTCATCAAGCCACCAAGACCTACGCTTGTCAAGGTCACCATGACCTCCCCTTGGCCAGAGTCGATGGCTAATTTTCAGTGAAGCAGCATCAACCCTATCGCTCACCCTCCTGACTTCCTTAGTGGCGAGATGTCTTCAACCTGGGGAAGATTTAGAATTAAATATAGAGATGATGGAGTCAATCAAATTCACAGTGTTAAGTCTTTTTATTTATTTTTTATTTTTTTATTTTTTTGAGACAGAGTCTTGTTTTGTTGCCCAGGCTAGAGTGAGTGCCGTGGCGTCAGCTTAGCTCACAGCAACCTCAAACTCCTGGGCTCAAGCAATCCTCCTGCCTCAGTCTCCCGAGTAGCTGGGACTACAGGCATGTGCCACCATGCCTGACTAATTTTTTCTATATATATTAGTTGACCAATTAATTTCTTTCTATTTATAGTAGAGACGGGGTCTCGCTCTTGCTCATGGGTGGTTTCGAACTCCTGACCTCGAGCAATCCGCCCGCCTCGGCCTCCCAGAGTGCTAGGATTACAGGCGTGAGCCACCGCGCCTGGCCTAAGTCTTTTTAAAATATACTAATTTGGGGAATAATTTTTTGTGTGTTTGACATTTTAAGCACTTGTAGTGTTTAAATGAACTTGATATATTGGAGAAAAATTTGCTATTAAATATATTAAGAGATGTTTGTAAGAAAACTATAGAAGTAAATTTGTAATCAGTTATGGAATATAGAAAATAATTCTGAACCATGACACTACATTTGTGTTTAATCTTATTAGTTTTACAAGAATGACTGAGTTGGTCAGGACTTTTCTTTTTAGTTAGTTAATTTGTAGTCAGCTAACTAACATAGAAGGTAAGAGCCCAAACCTGGAGTCTGGAACCAAACTTCATGGGTTCAAAAAGTAGTTCAGATATTATTAGCTACATGACCTGTGAAAACTTACTTTGTGTACCTCAGTTTCCCTGTATATGAAACACAGATAATAATATTATAAAGTCTGCTAGAATTGCTATGAGAATTAAAGGAGTTGATGTAAATTGTTTAGGACAATGTCTGCATATGGTAGGGGCTGTAAGTGTTAGCTGTCATTGAAAAGCAAATCAAATATATTAAATTTATAAATGCAGTTAAAAATCCTTAAAGTTGTTTAACTAAGTCCGAGTGGAACCAACACTTAAGCGCAGCCTCCCATAAAACAAGTTATTAAGATTTTCTATATAAACAGTACAGGATTTGTAAAAATGACTTAAAAGCTTAAAGGAAGAACTAGGATTCTAAGTTTTTTCTTCCAATAAATCAAATGTTGCTTTAAAAAAAAAAAAAGTGGCCCTAAAGCAGTCTTTTGTGTATCCCAAAGTTGTGCCCTGGGGCATTAGAAAACTCACAAAGGCAAAATTAATTTCCAAGGAATTAATTTCCAAGGAATCCTGCTGTCTTCTGGTTGCTCCTGGGGCTTCTGAGAGGACTGTGGGTGTGGTATGCATGGGGGGTGCAATCAGTGGGGGAGCCCCTGAGCCCACATCCCCTCCCTTCCACCCCTGAACCTTAGCAACTCCACTCAGATCAGTTTTCTATATTGGGTTTTGACTTACGAGTACAGTTTCGGGGGGTGGGGGTGGGGCTGGGGTCCAATAAAGTTTCACAAATCTTATTTTATTTGGATGATTGTATAATTTTCTTTAAGTCTAACTTTTTGGAAAACTATGAGAATCATTATCCCAAAGACAATATGTCTTGTAACCAAAGCTCATGATATTGAAATCCTTACAGGACAGGAATAGGAAAGTCAGCAGATGAGTTCCAATGACAAGGCTCTGTTATAGATCCAAGTGCCAGACCAGGATTGGGCTCTCTCCGCACATAAGTGATTGTTGCAAACTAGGAGGTCATCACTTTGTCCCCGCGGTGATGAGAATACAGCATCTCGTCAAATCAAATAGCCACTGAGCAGCATTCGCCAGTGTCTGGCACATAGGAGGAGCTCATTGATTATTTGATTCCTAAACTGTTCATTCTTAAGAGCAGGCGTGGGCAAACTTTTCCTGTATTTTCCGCTTTGCGGGTCATAGAGTCTCCATTGCAATTATTTAATTCTGCCATCACATTACAAAAGAAGCCATAAAAAATGGGTATGGCTGTGTTCTAACAAAATTTTATATAAAAAAGCAAGTGTCAGGGCAGATTTAGCCCGCAGGCAGTACTTTGCCTTCTCCTGCTTTAGAGCAATGCTTCCCAAACTCTTTGGCACTGTTAGATTATTGTTCTCTACCTAATTGGGCTCAAGCATGTGACTGACTTTGACCAATGGGACTGTGGGAGTGTACGTCTCAGCATCTTGTCATCCAGCCAATGGGATGTTAGCAGACATCAGGCAAGCAGAGGCTTCACATGTGCTTAAGGGGTCCAGCTTGCCCTTTTGTGCCTTTAACATGATGAAAAGAGCTTCCCTTAGGAAGCTGTTCCCCTTCAGCCTAGGCACCAAATGGAACACGTGTGGAGCAGACCTGAGCCCAGCAATGAGAAGTCAAGCTTGGCAGGACCTGAAGCTTGAAGCAGAGCTGCCCAGCCAAGCCCAGCCTAGACTAGCCAATCACCAGCTGACCCACAGATGAATGAACTCAGATAAGATCAGCAAAGCTGCCTCAGCCACCCCCAAATTCATGAGAAATAAATGCCTCATTATGTGTTCTACTGAGATTTTTGTGATTTTTTTGTTATGCAGCATTATTGTGGCAATCACTAACTGATACAAAGACTCTCAGTAAGAAACGTATCATAACTTGTGATTCAGATTCACAAAACATTATTTTCTGTTATAGCAAAATATTTAAAAAGTAATTGTCATCTGCCAGGCACTGTTTTATGGGCTTTACATATACCAACTCATTTATTCTTTATAATAACTATATGATGTATGTGCTATTCAGGTGAAGAAACTGAGGCACAGAGAAGGGAAAGATGCACTGCCATCTATAATAGGCTTCATCCTTCTTTCTATTTCTGCCTATCCTCATCTCCTCTCCTACCCCTCCAACTTCCTTTCCAAGGGAAGGGGATTTAATCAAATCAGCCAAGATCATCTCCAGATATCCAGCCTAATCACTTTGCTTGGTGTAGCAACGGAACTGCTCTACCCCAGTCTTCCCCTTGTGTCATGGAGCAAGAGAATACGAGAAGAGCGTGTAGAGAATGGGACTGTGACTTTCCCCAGACCATGGTCGCTGCACCCAATGCCTCTAACTGAGATTTAGAGGCCAGTAAGGCCCAAAGTGAAAGACTTTTCTCTTGCCTTTTCAGTTACAGTTAGATGGGAAGTAACTGCACAGTCATGATATTTAGAAAGAGAATTGCAGGGGATCAAAAGGAAACACACCACTCCCTCTTATCACGTCTTGTAGATTAATCACTAATACTCACGGAGGGCACCCCGACCTGAGCTCCAACGGACCCTTCGCGGATGCCCGACTTCCCGTTTCTGGGGACTGATTAATGACATTGCCCAGAAAGTGTCACTCGACACAGTCAGTCTATCTTCAGCTAAAACGCCAACGACGAACTGTTCTCACCAAAGTGGGTGTACACTCTCTTCCGGGGGAAGATCCGGCTGTCACAGGCCCTGTGGCTTGCCCCGTTTTAGAGAGGCTCTTTAAGGAAAAGAACGCAAAACTACAAGTACAGGTTAGGTAGGAAATGAGTATTTATAAAATTTAAAAAAGCTAACAAATACCGCAAACACCACAAGATACATTAAAATAACATAACATTTTCTTTGCTAATTAACTACTAGAGACACCTTGAGAATACTAATTTTCCCTACAGTTTTGACCGCATACTCTTTTACCTGTCCATATGACAATAATATTGTAGTATGGTTATTTACAGAGAATAGGAAGATAATCTTGGTTTTTGCTTTGCAAGGTTTTTATTTTTATTTTTTCTCTTATGTTGATGGTTTAAGAGAGTTTCTTTGTGCTTTACAGCACTTTGTTGGCAATGCTCCTCTTCTAATGTCCCCTGTGGTTTCTTGCTCAGATGGTGCATTTGATAGCAGCTGGTCCAACTTGGCCAGCTCCTCGCCACTGCCATGTTCCCAGCAGTCCTGGGGTGGCCACGAAGCTTGGTTGTAGCAGCCTCTGAGCAGCGAGCAGAGCAGTGTCTCATTCAAATCTGTCTTCTTAGGATCAGAGACAGCATTGGAAAGTCCCCTGAAGTCCGGCGGCTGCAGGTGGGCGCTGGGTGGATGTGAACACGTGTGCGCAGCCCAGCCCCCTTGCCCACAGCCCCAGGACCGGCTCTGTGCTTCAGGCCATGGGCTTTGCAACCCTGGAGGGGAACTGTTGGAGCTTTAGAATGGGCTCAAGAAAATGAGAGCCCCTGAAGGTTAAACTCCATTCATAACTCAGTAAATCCACCTCCCCAAGCTGTTACTACCAGCAGAGATAGATAATTATAATTATCTATCCACAGCAAGGAGAACCCAGAGACAGCAGCACCCGTGAGAGAGACAGAGGCCACAGCCTCATCTAAACTTCTTTTTTTTTTTTTTTTTTTTTTTCTGAGACAGAGTCTCACTTTGTTGCCCAGGCTAGAGTGAGTGCCGTGGCGTCAGCCTAGCTCACAGCAACCTCAAACTCCTGGGCTCAAGCGATCCTCCTGCCTCAGCCTCCCAAGTAGCTGGGACTACAAGCATGCGCCACCATGCCCGGCTAATTTTTTCTCTCTCTATATATTAGTTGGCCAATTAATTTCTTTCTGTTTATAGTAGAGATGGGGTCTCACTCTTGCTCAGGCTGGTTTCGAACTCCTGACCTTGAGCAATCTGCCCGCCTCAGCCTCCCAGAGTGCTAGGATTACAGGCGTGAACCACCACGCCCGGTCCCACATCTAAACTTCTATTGTTATTGTTCAACTTCCTTTAAAAATCAATTGACAAGAATGATGTAGTACTTCAGATACTACCTGGAGGATGTACACAAACCAAGGTGAGGATTCAACGGAAACATTAAGGGGAACTTTCAGGGGCGCAAGGAAACATAAGACATTTATTTTTTTATTTATTTTTTTTGAGACAGGTCTCCTTTGTTGTCCAGCTAGAGTGAGTGCTGTGGGTCAGCCTACTCACACAACCTCAAACTCCTACCACATCTTTCCTTTCCCGTAAGCTTGGGGGGTAAGCAGGCGCCACATGCCCCAATTTTTATATATATATCATGTTGGCCAATTAATTTCTTTCATTTGATAGTAGAGACAGGGTCTCGCTCCTTGCTCGGCTGTTTGAAACTCCTACCTGAGCAATCCGCCCGCCTCGGCCTCCCAAGAGCTAGGATTACAGGCGTGAGCCACCGCGCCCGGCCTAGACATTATTTTTTAACACAGATGTAAATATCTTTAGTAAAATGTTACTAAGTCAAGTCAGGAATATATAAAAAGCTAACATACTATGACCAAGTGGGGTTTATCCAAGGAAACATGTTTTGCTTAAATCTTCCATTTATAGATAATAAGTATAAATATCACTTTTGCATATTTGCCCTGCATAACTATATTAATAAAGACAGAGGTTAGATGTGGTCCACTTAGTACAAGAACCTATATCATATATCTGAACCATATAACTGGCATGTGTATTATATATTTCTGAAATATTTGCTATAAAACTTCTCAATCAAGTTTATTTTAAATCTTATTTCTGAAATAGACAACCAAACACCTCAATTTAAAAATGTTCATATTAAAATATCTTCATTCCATAAGCTTATTCTAACATTAGAAGTAAAGTATAATATATCTGACTTAACAGGTAGAAGTAGACATTTCTGATTAGCTGTCGTGAATAAGACCATGTCCGATACATACAAGTAGATCAAGAGCTATCTAGTATTATTCCATTAGCCACCTTTCTGCAGTGTCGTTACTGGCCAATTAGTGAAGGAGAACTAATAACAATAATAGAGCTAATAGTTGTTCAGTGCTTGGTATGTGCCTGGCACTCATGCCTGGTTCTAAGCCCCTTACCTGTGTGATCTCAGGTAATCTTCACAGCATCTGCATGGTACAGAAGAGCAACCCGGACACCCAGAGGTTAAGTAACTGGCCCCTGGTCATTCAGCTGGTCTGTCTAGCTCCAGAGCCTGTGCTCTTGGCCATTACACCAGAGGCTCATGCTCACTCCTTTTATATCCTTCAGTACATGATATATGAAAACATAAAATGAATTGTAGACACGTCACATTACGGGGTGTGGGGTGAGCTCTTCACAACCAGTTTTGTGGTGATCTTCACTAAATCCCTAGTCAATAGATCTCTCAAGTGTTAGTGTGTATCTCTGTTTATTGTCTATCATCTACCTATCTGTCTATCTAAAACAACATCTATCTTTTCTACTGAATGAAAGAAACACCTAAATTACTAAAGTTAATGTTCTGGTGCTCAAAGGCTTAGGATATTAGTTAGGATACTAGTTTGGCTACTGTTACAAAGGCCAAAATAATAGTAACTTAAACAAATGGAAGCTTATTTTTCTATCCTGTAACAGTCAGAGTAAAAATAGCCCAAGGCTAATGTCGTGGCTCCTGACAATGGAAATTCATGTTTCTTTCATCTTGATCTCCGTTGTCCTCAACGGGGTCTTCTACCTCATGGTTGAAGATTGCTGCTCCAGGTCCTGCCATCATGCCTACATCCCATCCTGTAGGACGGAGAAGAAGGAAGAAGTGGAGGGCATCACCCTCTTCCTTTATGGTCATGGACCAGGAGTGGCATTTATCATTTCCGCCCACAGCAGTCAAAACTTCTTTCTTACCTTGCCCAAGTACAAGGGTGTCTGGAAAAGAGTCTTTAGCAGTACAGTAACGCAGGCTATATTGTGAAGAGGAAAAAGTGGAGACTGGTTGTTAGGGGACAACTAACTATACTGTTACAGGGGCAAAATCAGGAAAAATGACCTTGTGTAGAATTCTGCCTCGATCAGGCTGATTTTTCCTTTCAATGTGCACCATTTTGTATTTGCATCAGTGATTTTACTAATTTTCTGTACCTTTTCAGAACGCAAGGGAACTAGTGGTTACTGGTGCTTACGACGTGAATATTTGCAGAGGAACATTTTTTTTTTTTTTTAGCAAAGCTAAACACTCAGTGGATGATGAGGCCAGTCTGTGTTCCAGGTGCCACTTAGGGTGAAGCATAAAAAACTGGCGGTATGTACACAATGGAGTCGCAGGAAGCACACAAGCTTGATGTTCCTGTAGCATAGGACACCAGGTTTCAGTGGATCTAGTCCTTTTCTACCAGCAATTCAGTAAATTCACTTGAAAATGGAATAGATTTATTTCTGCACAATGCTAAAAACATCAGGGTTACATCTTCTTTTCCAACCCCCCACCTGCCACACTCAAACTCTGATGTTTGGCTTCTGCATTAATACAATAATATACTCTTGACACAAAGAGCACATCCTTGGGGCAAACTGGAAGCCTGGAACCGTTTCTTCACTTTGTGTAAACTTTGTTTACTGTGGTCTGAATGGCTCGGTATCAGCTTTAAGGTGTTGGGCGGGTGGGAGGGGGGAGGAGGGGATGGGTATATACAAACATAATGAGTGAGGTGTGTAACGTTTGGGGGATGGTCACGCTTGAAGCTCTGACTTGAATGGGGAGGGGAGGCAAGGG